AAGCCACAGCGGGGTGAAAACTACAGGGATGGCAGCTCTTCCTGAGGCCACAAAGCCTGACAAGTTTCAAGGAGATAGGTGTAGGGGTTAATGGGAAACTGCACCTCAAGTTGCTGACAAGCAAAACTCGTGACATAGGTGACACTGTGTGTGTGTTAAGGCACAGGGGGGTGAAAACTGCTCTGGTGCAGCCATGAAGCCTGCCAGCTGTCAAGAAGATAGGTACAGGGGGGTTCTGGGGCCCTGCACCTCTGGCTGCTGATGGGCAAAACTTGTGACATTGGTGTTTGTGCAACTGTGTCTGTCTTGGTCACAGGGGAGTGAAAAAAACTATTGCAGGCCTGCTAGACCCTGCTGTGGCCACAAAGCCTGCCGGCTGTCAAGGGGATAGGTGCTGGGGGAGTTTGCATTCTGGGGCCCTGCTCCTCTGGCCGCAGGCAGGCAAAACTTGTGACATGGGTGGGTGACACTGTGTGTGTGCTTAGGTGTTCCCCTCCGGGCGCTGGGGCCTCTGCACAACATGGCAGCATGCCCCAGTGAGGTCTCCTCTACAGCCTTGGTCCGGTCCACCACTGTAAACGGCAGCAGGTAAAAATAACTTTGGTGGCTCATCACCAATAGCACCAGCAGCATTTAAGGTAGCCAAACTGAACTGTCACACAGCCTTTCTTTATATAAAGGAATTGACAGCAAGAAGTAAAGATGTGTGGGTTGGCCCACCAACGGCCTGACTGATTGCACCGTGCCCTGTGAGGGAGAGGTTGGTGTGATCACCATCCCAGCTGCTCCAGATGTCCAAGGTGAAGTGTAAGGTTGCCTGCGGCCCTGCCTTGTACAGCTCCTACCTCAAGTACTCCCTGCATGCCTCATACAGGGAGGGCACCACCGTCCTGCTAAAGGTGGTGCATCCAGGCATTTGGTAAGATGGGTCCACAAGCACCATGAGCCTTCTGAACCCTGGCCGCTCAACTAGGGAGAAGGGCTGGCTATCCAGAGCAAGCATCTCCCCAGTGCTCTGGGTGATCTCACTCGCCTTGGGAATGTGCCCCACTCTGTCTGCAGCTTTCCCCCACCACTCCAGGATAGCCTGCCTTTGCTTTGGGGGGACAGGGGCTTTGGAGCAAGCAGGGGACTTCCCTTTGGGCATGCTCACACTGGTGTCAGGCTGAGCAGGAAGAAGGGCAAGGGGGTGCTACCTCCTGAGATGCAAGAGCATTGCTGTGGTGGTGAAGTGTTTCACTTTCTTGCCCTGGCTGATCTGCCTTTGGCAGTGCTGGCAGATAGCAAACCTGGGATCATCTTCCACCTCAAAATCCTCCCACACTACACTACTCTCCCACTTCTGGGTTGAGGGTGGGGATGCTGCTTTATTCCCCTCCTCAGCAGGCTGAGGCACAATAGCAGAAGGAGCTGCCTCAGCTGAGCCACTTGCCTCCACAACCTCAGCCTCCTCCAAGGTGCTGCTTTCCAAAGAAGGAGACCTGGGTCTAGGGGAACACTGAGGGGTGTGGAGCACAAACTCTGATTCCCCTTCAGTCCCCAGAATTGCTTGAGCCAGGGCGCTCAGGTCCCCTGGTTCCAGCCCCAGCTCCTCCTCTGGAAGTGGGAGGCTCATGCTGGGAGATGATATTGGGGTAGAGGAGACAGTGATTCTGCTGCTTGTGTCTATTTCTGGAGTTAGGGGAGGTAGTGCAGGTGCAGGGACTTCAGGTACTGCACCCATCTCCTTGCTTCCCCTGCCAGCAGGAACCTTATGGCTGCTTGGGTAAAGGATGCATCTATGTTCGGGTGAGGAGGGATTTGCAGCTCTAGGTCTCCCCCATCCTCTCTAGCCCCTCTCCCTCCCCTGTCAGAAGACCTGGCACCTGTCTTTCCAG